TGAAATTTATTAGATAATTATTAATTAAAAAATGTGATCACAAATTAAAAAACTAAAATAGATAAATTTGTCAATAAAATTAAAAAATTCTAATCTGCTAGCGGTTTGGTACAAAAAGCTACATAAACTAGCTTTTTCAATCTGCTAACGATTTGAACCATAACTGTTATCAACTAGTCTCAAACCACTAAATAAAAATTTTACCAAACACTTTAGTTGTAGCGGTTTCAAAATATATAAATTTATCAAATATTTATATTTAACGATTTAGATAAAACTACTAACTATTACCCAAAAATCGCTATAACAGGCGGGTCTTATACAGTTAGAAGTGCATCTTACTACAAATTAAATAAAATAAAGAAGAATCCAGAATTACGAAAAAGCATATCCCGCGCGACTCCATTAATTAATGGCAAGGAAACAAATGGGAGATTGTTTTTTTTTTTTTCGTTTTTTTGGCCTTAACAAAATGGGGGAGATTGGATGGCTAATTTATTTTGGAGTCCCAATATATGTATATAATTCCCTTTTAACAAAAGTTGAATTTGAACTAAAAGTTGTACTAACATTTGTTTAAAAGTAAAAATTAGCATAAAATATGGTATTAATTAAAATAAGTGGTTTAGAGAATAATATAAGATTTATCTATTTTGTATTTCTAAAATACAGTTTAAAGATATTTTTTATCATAAATTTATATTAAAAATATAAAAATAAATATTAATTTTAAAATTAATATTACATAAATAAATTTAATTAAATAATTGATAAATTAAATATTAATTTTTTTATTTTTTTAAGACCCATAAACTATATGTTAATGGTAGAGAATAGAAAAATCCAATGATACATATGCAACCTTACCCAGCTAATCTTCCTCTTACTGGGGAAGTTGTTTTTTTACATTGACCTGCTGTTTGCTTTGATGCTTCTTCCCCTAGCTAATCTCTTTTATTTCTCTTTCTGCTACAAACAGTGCTGCCTTTTTGTGCTGGTATTCTGATCTCTTTATATCACAAACTTAATTATTCCATCCACCACCACACACCTTCCTTCCCCCTGTTTTTTGAATGGTGAAAGTATCTCTTTCTTTGATGAACTTTCTCTCTCGTTGTGTTTCTCAAAAGACATCCACTCGTACCCTCCACGCCCTGCCAGCTTCCTCCTTCGCCTCTTGCAAGCAAGCGTGGTTCCACCGCTGCCTCGGTCCTGACCCCTTTTTATTCTCATTCTGATCGCTCGTAGATATTGGGAAACAAGAAGGAAAGTTGAGAAAAGATGATGAAGAGGAACAGTTTGAATGAGAGAATAATGGGACAGATGAATAAGAAAAAGAGTGGTGAAAACAAGAATTTGAAGAAAAGTAGGTTCTTGATTACAGTCAATGTTCTTGGGAGCGCAGGACCAATAAGATTCGTGGTGAATGAAGATGATCTTGTTGCGGCGGTTATCGACACAGCTCTCAAGTCTTATGCCCGTGAAGGCCGCCTTCCGGTGCTCGGCTCCGACACCAATAATTTCCTTCTCTACCCTGCAAATGCAGGATCAGATGGTAAGTACACTCCCAAACCACCCTTTTTTTTTCTCTTTTTTACCAGCCAATTATTAAATTCACATATGCTGTCCTGGTCCACAGCCAAAATTTTAAAATTATGGAGAACTAACTCAACAAATCCATCACGTCTCCTTTTTCCTTCATTAGTACTTTTCATTTCATTTTTGAATCAATTTTTGTTCTTGCTAGCACAATTTTCATTCTAGCTAAATCATTATATTTTTTTCGATAACATAAATATTTTAACTTTGAATTTGATTATTAATAACTTCAATTATATGTATGTATGAATAGAAATTAATGGGTGTTTACATATTCTGTTCATTGCTTTTATTTACTTAATTTGCTTGAGAATATGTTTGCCTTTTAGCTTTGAGTCCATGGGAAAAGATAGGATCTCAAGGAGGAAGGAACTTCGTGCTGTGCAAGAAGGCGGTGCACCCGCAGATGACCGAGGGAAGGTCAGAGATGATAGCTCATAAGAATAGTGGGTGGAAAGCTTGGCTGAACAAATCATTCAGTTTCAAGATATTATCACACTGAGAGATGTATAGTCAAGGGTAATCTCTGTTTAAAGGAATAACAAAAGTTCTCTCTAGTTGTAGAGTTTATCAAAACTACGGTCTTATATATTCGGCTGTATAAAAAATTAGAGATTGTGGTCATAAATAATGTAATGCATGTCTTTTATGCTTTTTATAAGAAACATGATCAAAGATATGTTCTCTATGAATAATTCAAACAATATGCTTTCATATGCATAAGTATTTCTGATTAATGGCTTGACTGATAGTTATTCTTGACCATATGGATCTTCATATTCCAATTTCATTTGTTGATACCAATTTTGTTCTTTAATATATTTTTATTATTAACCCACTTGGATACAACCTATATTATGCGTTTTACACTGGTGCAAGTATTGTTACACATGTTGCTGCTATGCGGTTGCAAAGAAATTCAACTTTATAATTTTTGTTTTACGAATTCTCTTGTAGTATCAAATTGTGTCTATCTTAACAAACTTAGTCGAATTGGTTAAAAAGTTTAATTTGAAAATAGGCTAATGATTCACGTTTTTGTTATATATAGTTAATTGGTCGTGCCACTTATTGAATAAATCATTTAAATGTGAGTTGAAAGGATAAGCTACTAGCAAATACTATGCATGATTTGAGTTGCTCCAATTATATGGGAAATACATGGCAAGAGAAAATTATTATTACTACTAGTTGTTGTGGGAATAAGAATATGATGGCTTAGGGATAATAGAGGCTTAAGTTCAAAGCATTTATTAGGGACCGTCAATTTCCTTTTTCTCTTTTTCTGACAAGAATAATGCTAGCAAATACTCTATTTTGCATTATCTTGTTAATACTCTATAAATAATTATTTTATAGGATATTTATTTATTTATTATTGATACATGTAATTATCAATAACTTAAATAATTCAGTGATAATTTTCTTTTCATGAACGTAAAAGATCTTAAATTCGATTTGCACCCATATAAGCGAGGTAGAATTTAGAGATGGGAGAGGGTTACTCCCAATTGTGCACCCAAAAAAAAAAAATATTGATACATATGATTAATTTAAAATTATCTAACATATAAACTAATAATAGAAAAATACTTTATTATTTTATAAAAAATACTTAATTGTGAAGAATGTCTATAAAGTAATTGACTATATTAAAGACAAAAATGTATTTCTTCACATACATAATCAAGGTTCAAATCCATAATCTCCCTTTTTATAAGAGCTTCTATCAATTAATATGTTCATTAAAAAATATACTTAATTGTATGTTAAAAATAGAGTACAAAAGGCACTAGTAGCCTCCAATGGACTAGCAATATGCATCAAATATCTCATCCTATGCCAAGATTCAAGTCTTATAATATTTCTCTTTCTTCTTAAAATTTATCTTAAAATTTATCTTGTTCAAAAAAAGAAAAAAAGAAAAAAAAGAGAACACAAAAGAGAATGTCTCTTTTGGTGAAGTAAAGAAAAAGAAAAAGAAAAAGAGAATAATGGATCATCAAATGGGATTTGGAACCATGATTTGATTATATAAATTTAGTCCTTGTGAAGCATTTTTTTTTCCTTTTAATCTTCATAATTTTTAGTCATTAATAATCCATATAATTACTTTAAAGGCCTTGTGTTCATATGAAAAACAACTTGAAGGCCTTACTTGTAAAAACAAGAAGTATTGAGGACCAAAACTGGGGTTTACAATCGTTAACATTAATAATTTTCTAAAATATCCAAAAAATTATATACATGCCATGTGTCCGCGAGTGCCAGCTGGCAGCTAATGATGGCACAGAGCCTCATCTAATTTCTAGACCTCACTGAACCAGGACCGAACCATAAACGGCGAACGCCGACTCTGTTACGAAAGAAGGAAACGGAGCTGCAAATGTCGACGGCAAGAATTCAATCGAGCACGGCGTCTGCTCTCTCCGCCACCGTCAAGCACCACCTCTTCCCCAACCTCCGCCCCCCTGGAAACCATCTCGTTTCACGGCCCAATATCGCGAGACTGAGAACTACCAGAGGCCTCACGGTCGCAATGGCCGCTCCTCTTGAAGTCTGCGTCAAGGCTTCCGTCACTACTCCCAACAAGTTGGGTGACTGTAAGTATTCTCCATTCTCTTTGCTGTAATCTATGTCTGGTTTGCCTAGAAAATTTAGAAATGTTGAAGGAAAATCGAACTGTTTGGGACTGAAAGTCTGACACACAACATTGTCTTGATCTTTTAAATTATCTTGGTCTGGTTCTTAATTGAGCTGAAAATTTTCTGTTCTTGAATTATCAGAGTCAATCAAGTTTACTTCAATTTTCTAATATTTTCTGAGTTGTCAAGTGTAGTCCCATACAATGCTTAGGCTTCTTAACTAATCTAATCAAGTAGCGAATTGATGATGGTGCATGCAAAACTAACTGCTTCTGTTTTTATTAATTTTTTGGCTGCAGGCCCCTTTTGTCAAAGGGTATTGCTGACTTTGGAGGAAAAGCATCTCCCCTATGACATGAAGTTGGTTGATTTGGGAAACAAGCCAGAATGGTGATTATATAAAATCTGCTTTTTGGGTTATGTAGCTTTCTTTTTCTCTTTTTTATGTGTAATTATTTGAATCTATTGGTTTCTTAAAATTATGCATCATTGAACTATGAAGAAATGCAAAAATCGATACATATATGGGTACCATATTCGTGGTTAGTAGATATGTATCTGATATGTCCTTGTATGCCACAAATAAAAAATAATTTTCATGTTTATTGTTTGGTATTATGGAGTTATAAATCTGGGATACAGGATGATGAGAAGATACTATCTTGAATATGTTATTTCTGAGCAACTTCAATTGGAGAGAAGCTCAATGGTCGTAACTTTTCTCTTCACTCACAGTGGAGGTAGATCTCTAGATGTGTGAGAAAAGCAGACCTGTAGATAACAGAGCCATAAGAGACACAAGAAAGGATGCATTTCTTTCCTGTGAAAGTTGGCAGTGAAGTAAATTTCATATATTGATTTCTTAAAATTTTCCCAATAAGATATCTTAACCAAAGGGAGCATTTCTTATTCTTTATAATTTCTAAGCATGTTCCTTTACATCTAAGCAAAAAGAATATTTGGAAATTAGTACATTTTTTGTGTATCCTGTTATTGGCCTTATCCTAATTTTCTAATGATTGACATCTCACTATTACTGTATCATGATTTTTATATACATCATGTAATTGTATTGATGCTTTCAAGCTGTGCATTTGCATGCATACTTGCAAGTGCAAACCAGTTCTGCTACAATCTCAATGCTTTCTATTCTGCTTTAATTTGTGTTGAAATGCAGGTTCCTAAAAATCAGTCCAGAAGGTAAAGTTCCAGTAATAAAATTTGATGAGAAGTGGGTTCCAGATTCTGATGTTATCACACAGTCATTGGAAGAAAAGTTCCCTGATCCACCACTGGGAACTCCAGCAGAGAAAGCTTCAGTGTATGCTTTATGCTCAATCTACTTCTTCCCACTTCCCATCCCAATCTCCCTTATTCCTGCTCCCAGAGTATATAAATGCCCATTATATTGATCTTGTTACATGAAATGGAAAATTATTCTCCTTTGACTTTCAGCACAATCTTCTTATCTTGAAAGGGACACTTTAGGCTTTAATATTTGACATATGATGTTGAATTACTTTTAGAATAGTGGTATAGACGTGATTCAATTAGATCCAACCTTCTTATAAGGATGGAGTTGTGATATCTGTTAGATTGTTGTAGATATGTTTCAGAACGTGTTTTTATTAATGAAAGAAATCCCAAAGAGTGAATGATGACTTGAGTGTTTAATTTAATCAGAGGGCATTGACATGATGTGGACTAGGGGTGTTTCAATTTAGAAAGTTTTTCTTTCCTTCATGAGGGTAGATTATAAATGAATGATCACCCTTCATATGTTTCTAACTGTGGTCGGTACTCAAGCAAGGTACAACGGTCTTTTTAAGCTCATATAAACCCTGTAAGACCATTAATAGAAAAAGTAGAAACAAGATGTCATTACTGCTTTCTTATTTGGTTGGATCATTTTATTTTTGAAGAAGAGCTTTGGTTTTAGCTTTTCAAGGAATTTACTCCATATAGTCTGGTATTTGGCATTATAGTCTTTCATATTTTAAGTGTCATTATTTAGAAGTTTGCATTTCTAAATTTTCTCTTCATTATGGATGGAAACTTATGGCCATCTGATATAATTCTCTTATGTAGTGGATCAAAGATCTTTTCCACATTCATTGCCTTTCTTAAGAGCAAAGATCCGAGTGATGGAACTGAACAGGCATTGCTGAATGAGCTAAGTGCATTGAATGATCATATCAAGGAAAATGTAAGGACTTTATCTTGATTTGTGTCATAGGGATATTTATAATTTCATTTCTTAGGAGTCCATTACCTCTTTAATATTAATTGTGATGTCAAGTGTCCTTTTGTCCATTTGTTCAAATATGTCAATGGCAATTGCCCTACATTTTAATTTTGTTAGGACCTGTCTTGATGTTATAGAACAATTCAGCCTTGAATTTTGCACTGCTCTATGGTAAAGAAATGATTTCTTGATAGCCTCATTTGTCTCAAGCTATTTTCATATACACTTAGTTAGGCTGAAAGATTTGTGGTTTGCTTTATAATGGTTTGAATGTTTTTCTTCTATAATTTTCTTGAAGGGCCATTTCATCAATGGGGAGAAGATTTCTGCAGCCGACTTATCTCTAGGACCAAAGCTCTACCATTTAGAGATTGCTTTGGCGCATTATAAAAAATGGTCCGTTCCAGACTCACTTCCACATTTGAAGTCCTACATGAAGGTATGTATAATCGGACCAAATGTTTATTTCTATCATGTTGCTCTTGTAGTCAACATGCTTATGGTGCCTATTTATTTTATTTTGTATTCACTGATCTTTTGTTCCTAACTATGCTGAATTTCTCACGCACAGACAATTTTCTCAAAGGACTCTTTCCTTAAAACTCGTGCCCTCCCAGAGGATGTAATTGCGGGTTGGCGTCCAAAAGTCATGGGATAATTCTTTCTGCCGCTGGAACTCTCTTTTTGGAGGCCTTCAGGTATCTTCCCCTATATTTCAAGAATGAATATGAAGAGGTATAATATTACAAACCAGATGAGCCTCCCTTACTAGTAAACCTGATTAAGCTTCATTTATTCTGTAGTTAGAGTTGGGATATTAAAATGATTGAGACGACATACTGTAGAGCTTCATATGAAGTGTAACTCATTTAATAATCGTGTTGTATATTATTAACACAATTAATCTAGTCACGATAAGGTTAAAGTCATTTTCAGTGGTAAAACTTGTTTTGGTCATGCCAACCCATAATAATGTATTGCCATCTCCAGTTGTATATGATTCCAGTTCCAGCCTAACCCTGGTTCGACTTGTGCATTTGCATAGAAAAGTTCTCAACAAAGCCATTCTTATAACAAAACCCCTTAAAAGTTTGGTTTAGAGTTTGGAAAACAGTTATGGTCTGTTTGATAACACGAATTTGAAACAATGTATTTGAATTTGAGGGGTTAAAATTCAATATTACTGTTTGTTTTTACATAAATAAAAAGTAATTGAATTTGAGTGAAATACATGTATTTTAACAATGTAATTCCCAAGAGTAAAATACGTGTATTTCAATTTTATCCTAAAACCCTTGAATTTCAATTTTGAATTGAATTTGGTCTGCACTCTCTCTTCTCACCGACGGCAATGAGAAGCGCCGCAAATTTCAAAAGTTCTCGCTTCCCCCCTCTCCCAAAATTCCTTAGAATCTCATTGTTGTTCCCTGAGATGGCTCGTACTAAGCAAACAACCAGGAAGTCAACCGGAGGCCAGGCGCCGAGGAAGCAGCTTGCCACCAAGGCTGCTCGTAAATCAGCACCGGCCACCGGAGGAGTGAAGAAGCCTCACCGTTTCAGGCCGGGAACTGTGGCTCTGAGAGAGATCAGGAAGTACCAAAAGAGTACTGAGCTCTTGATT